ACAAGCAGACCTCCTCTCATTTGTAGAAAATTTCACTTTGAGTTCCCCTAACTTTAGACGGCCGAGCCCACGCCCTACAGTAAGATCTCGTCAAGTAGGACGAATCTCTCGTCTGGATCAGGTCCGCCAACATAATCGGACCAGAGAGCGTGCGGCGAAGACCCGATTTGTTGCTGCCAGGACTGCCTCAAGAAAGGAGGGACACAGCCAACTCTTGGAGGCCATGAGGAGGTGCCGATTATCAAGACCGGGGAAAATTCATACTGCTGCTTAAGTTGGTGTGTTTGCCATCAACGGTGGAAAACCTATTATCTCAAAGTCCAAGAAAGAAATTGTGGGACTACAAGGGTTATTCGATGCCGATCTCTTAGCTGAGCTCACGGAGGAAGATCGATTTCTGGGCCCGATGAAACGGGCTATTAACAACAAAGACGTTACCAGTTTCAATAAACTCGGGACCTACATGGCTCAGTTTTGGCCCAAAGCAGCGGTGGTAAATAATTGTGTGATAATCGACAATAAACTGGCCATTCCAGAAGTTTTGAGGCAAGCCGTCCTCGCCCTCCTTCATCGGTCTCATCCGGGACAGGAGGCCATGATGTCAGCCTCAGAGTACATTTGGTGGCCGTTTTTGAACCGACAGATTGTCGATACCTGCGAGAAGTGCCGCGAATGCACATTGTATGGTAAGAACCTAAAGCCTGTTAAAACTTTTCATACCGCTCAATCTTTACCTCAGTTAACGGGGCCAAATCAGGAATTGCAGTTAGACTTTGCTGGTCCTATTTTGGATGACAAAGGTATGAAGATATTCCTTTTAGTAGCTATTGATCGCTTCTCGAAATATCCTTCCGTACTTAGTACAAAAACCACTGGGGCTAAAAAGGTTAAGAATTTTCTTGAATCTTATATCCGAATTCATGGTTTACCTCATTCTATTAGGACTGATCATGGTTCTGGGTTTAAAAACGATTTAGTACAACAATTTTGTTCTAGTAGAGGTATTAAACATATCCTTTCTCCCGTTGGGGACCATCGAGGTTCTGGTCTTGTTGAACGTACGATACAGACTATAAAACGCAAGTTGGGCACGGAGCAGCTTGATCCTAATTTTGATAATTTAAAGAAATACTCCATCGGATAATTGAAGACGTTCGCATGAGTAATCATTCTGTACTTAAGAAGTCGCCTTTTGAAATGTATTTCGGACGTAAGCCCAATACTGAATGGTCACAAGCTTTTCATAATATAGTTCATTTTGATACTTCAGCACAAAGACTTGAGCGCAACCTCTTAACACCGGATCAAATCGCTAGCCAGGACTACGGTCGTGATCGTGCCATGGTGGTGCCCAGAGGCAGCCTTAGTCCTCAGATTGCCCCGCGTTTCAACCCCATGTTCTCACTAGAGGGAAATATTGCTGAGAGTGAGCCTTACAAAGAGCTAGCGGATCTAACTCGGGCTGCTAACAATTGGACACAGCATAAAAGAAACCTTCCGCCGGATGGATTGAAAGCGGGTTCTCCAAGAGCTGTCGAGTCGCCATTCAGATTTGGCTCAGTCACTAAAAACAGGCCTCTCTAGTAAAACACTCTGCTTTGCTGAAGATCGTTCAGCTAACACGCACACGCCTCCAGGGGCTCAGGATAATGCTCGTCGTTTACCGACTCTTCAACCCCGTCGACAGTCCAAAACAAGTAAATTGGAAACTCTTCTTTTATCCGATCCTAACCGCGTGAAAGTGTTTCGAAAAATTATAGACCGTCAGTCTGGCAAACCTCTTTTTAAGCTTGCGAAATTCAAAATTACTCGCATCACTGATCACACGTATGTTACTGACAAGGGAAAAGTTTATCGAAAAAACCATGTTTGTCTTAAGCCTAACTTCAGTAATAACTTTTCAGCAACCCACAGCACACTAGGTGATCGTCTCCAAGCTTCAGGACCATCTTCACGAAGTAAGAAACCAGTTACACGTTCGTCTCATCCGACACTGCTTGAGAAACGTCCTGTAGACACTAGTGTGTCTCAACCGATGGTGCTGGATCTCACTAATGATTCGTCTAGTGAGAGTCCTTCTGGTCAAAACACTTTGCAGGCGGTTCGGAAATCTACCCCAATGGAGAAGCGACCACGGTTACATGACGATCTACTGCCAGTTTCGTTTGGCGACTCATCCACCCGGGGCCAGTCTCCAATGGATACTCATGTCTCTGTACCGCCCATCACTCAGCCCGTTGGCCCTGCAACCACTCCAATGGATACTCATGTCTCTCTACCGCCAATCACTCAGCCCGTTGACCCTGCAACCACGATTGCAGGTCCGCAGACTTTTTCACCCGACGACGTCGTTCCTGAGGGTCCAGTTCAACCCGCAAATAGCGCACACACAGAATTATATTAGTCGTACCCATCTCTTTCTCTCCCAGCTCAACCTGTAGTGCGTGATCAGGAGACTATAAGGACCTCATCTCGTAGTAAGAAGGCTACGCAATTCTTGGGCGACCCTTTACGACACTGTCAAATCGGTGGAAGAAAACACGTTACTGGAAAAGGAGGCTGACGACTTACCCTCAGAGTGTTTTACCATCTTCGCAGTCACCTAAACGACGGCCACTCATTCGGGACCGTTCTCATTTGGCTTCGCCGGAGGCGCCATTCTCCTCCTCACTTGATAAAACTCAAGACGGAAATTGATCGTTGTTGAGATATCACTTTCAAAACTTATATATGTATTCATTATTTTCTTCACCATGCATTTTTGCGGGATAGGTGCGCTATCTATATAATGCTATAGGGGTGCAGTTTGTTTATGATAAAAGAAAAAAAATTATTTAATTCATGCTCTTTTACCTCATTTAATTCATGCTCTTTTGCAGCCATGCAGCTGAATTATATACCAGTTGGTTCAAGGTCACCGGTTTGGCCTTATCGAGTGACACACTGTGTGCGTTCACTCTTATGTTATATACGTCGCTTGTTAGATGTAAATTTATTCAACCTACTGTTTACTGTTTCTTTTAGTCAGAGCTTGACTAACAAATATCTAAATCTAACCAAGAAACTAACAACTAATCAATCAATTCAATTTTACGAACAACCAAGTTTTGTCCTTTAAATCTCGGCAAATGTCAACGAGTACTATTACTAATCCCCAACCGTAACATAGATAATCACTTACGCTGATGACAATACTATACAAACATCAATAGTGCTGTCAAACAGCTTAACTCACAACCCTCACCTTAATACGCAGAATCGTACACTCTCGGTTGACAAACTGTGAGTAACCATTTTTAGAACAAGGAAAAAAGAGGTGAGTTATGACGAACACTTATCAATCAATGGTCACCCTGTTCCTCTCAAAATCGAGCCGACAAACTTTAGGGTTACTTTTGATAGCATGCTGTTTTCCTCAAGAACATCAGAAATTCCTACGCAAAACTACCGAAACGAAACATCATTATCAAATTGCTACCGAGTAATGATTGGGATGCTTCAAAGAATTACTGATTGTAGCATATGAGGCCATTGGGCTGAGATGCTATCAAAGTAGTTAGCCGTTTGTAGTCATCGTCAACACAAACCCGGTGCGACATTTCTTCGTGAGTCTACACACATTTTTCCAACGGTGGCATATCGCTATGGCGATGAATATGAAGGTACCTAGATGAATATAATCAAAATAACCTGTTTGAGTTCCCTATAAGCGTTGAAGAGCATTGATTGCGCTAATGTGTTCAGATCTATTCGCTACAGTAACAGCAAAGTAACTTAGCAAAAACACCGTAAGTTAAAAAGGTTGAACAAGGATCAAAAGGCGGTCGACTTATTTCTATTAAACTTCCATCTGGGCACATTAACCGTCTAAATTCATACTTGAGCTCCTACTTGAACCACAAAAGAAAAATGAATGTTTTTTGTGGCAAGCACTGTACAAGGACAGCAACAACTTCGCCAACTCTCGATAAATCACAAACATATCTCACAGAAGTGTTAGTAAGAAGACCACATTTAGGTTGCCGCATTTGCGCTCAGGTAACAGCGTAGCTCATATGATAACTAGGCCCCCTTCTGGGTTGCCTGCCAGAGAAAAAGGCCTTCACAGTGATCCGAAAACAAACCAATTGAAGCACTTGAGACAAACATTTACTGAAGATTGGTAATACAAACGGGCCTTGAACTGAAATATGGGGACAATATAGGGCGACAGGACGAAGAAACCAACCAAACGAACTTTTGGTTCATCTAAACAAAAGTGCTGAACAAGACCACTGATGTCACCTACCTAAAACCGTAATACAAATCACAACATAACGCAGCGACCAATCCGCGTGAACATCGCGTTAAATGCAGGGAACGAGCGTACATCAGTAAGTTTGGTGTTTTAAAACCAGTCTACTTTTTCCAAGTTGCACACTTTTGTGCGAAATTTTATAGAACAGCATTAGCTAACTATCCGCTTTAATCAAGCTAGCTTTTTGCTGTGTAGTATCAAAGAAGGAAGTATACGTTTAAGTGTTTCATTAAACATGGGATATATATTTCCGCTTTTAGAGGTTTTGTTTGCCGTTTTTGCAGTTGCTTGTCGTGGTCAAGTGGGTTAGGCACATCTCTCTTAACACGAGGGTCATGCGTTCGAATCCCGCTTCGGTCACGGCTGGAGGGGTCCCAGTGTCATCCGCCTCCTCAAGGTGGGACCGGCTGCGGCAAAATGGATGACATCTCCCCCTCCCCCACGGTTGGTCCTGCACTGAGCAGGCCGGGGGCAAATAAAAAAAAAAAAAAAAAAAAAGTGCGCCGTTGCCATTATCTCAAATTTCGTTGATTTTCATCAAAAAAATGCCAACGATTAAAGATTCTGTGATTTCAAAGAGGCTACAGGTCATGTAAGATTTTTTTAAGGATTAAATAGGAGAGAAACGTGATCGAGAAGGTCAATTATCGTCTCATTATAGCGCTATGCGAGCTCAATTGCATTTAATTTTTTTGAATTTTTCAGATCAGCTCATGGATAATAGCAATACAGATAGTTTGGGATCGGAACACAATGTCGATGATGGTATGGTTTATCTTTCTTTTGGTCGATGCTATCTTAAGCATAATTAATAATTTTCATGTCAAATCTTTAATTGCTGAAAATTTGGACCCATAGTGTATGCAAAATTACAACAGCGTTTTATAGGTAAAAAAAATGTGAGAATAGAGATGGCACTTGCCTATTGTTTGTATGTTTGAATGGAATAAAGTCAGTATATGATGTTCTGTTTCAGGCTTCTCCGAATTAACAACCAGAGCGGCTTCAACTTGCTTTTCGCATGAAGACAGACACTTGAACGGAAGCCCCTCTAATCCAATATCAACAATCAGTATCACTCAACCACAGCCTGTCGTTGTATCTCCTATATCATTACAAACACCATCTACTCATGCAATAGTCACAAATGGTGAAAAGCAGTCAAGGATTTACAAAGTAGTATCAAGTGCAGTTTCTTCTTCGGCGACATTCAGAGAAGCCACTGGTGAAGTTGAACAATCGAGGACCAAGTTATAAATTCGATTCCTATTTATATTTGGTGCTTTAAGGCGACTCTATTGTTGGAATTGAAGACAAAACGTTTTCATCTGTTTTGCCGTTAGTTATTGGCCGACAAAGTTAAAATTGAGTAATTAGGTTTTTCTTATTATTAGTAACTGAAATACTTTTTGTATTTGGTCCGCAATTGTTGAGTTTTACCAAGCTTCTTCAGTTTCTTCAAGTGTGACGTCTTCTGTAAACGGGAGAAAGATGGTAGGGAATGTGACCACAGCGAGGCAGTACAGGGTGCTAAATAGTGGCGCGGCTACTGCAAGGAACCAACTCCAGAGTAATTTGAACCAGTTCATTAAAGAAGCGGGATTGCAGACGTTCGCACAGGAAGTTAGTAGCTTTGAAACTTAGTGCGGACCAAGTACAATTGACTGAAATCTGATGACAAAGTTTTGCCTTTTGACTTACATGCAGAGTATGAGGTTTAATATAAGGTCGTATTTTAATTCTTCAGGGTGGCATTTACGAGAAAAGTGGAAGTTTGGCAGATCCGAAAGTGGGGCATCTAGTATCGAAGACCAAGGATGAGGTAAAAATTATAACTATCAACTCGATTACTGAATTTCAATAAATCATCGGCTTGTGTGGCGCATGGAATGCTTAGTTTTGATAGCAGTTTCTCACTTTGTCATTGAAAGACTTGTTTTACTCAATCAATTTTTTTAAATCACGAGTGACAGATACTCGCGCAGGTTTATGTGTTTCAGGTCAGTTCAAATGGCAGAAGTGGTTGTGAGAGTGTGAATGGTGAATCTAAAAAGGGGACGCCAGTTGGGGCAGGAGCTACGAAGGATAAGGACAGACTGAAGAGATTCGCAGAGGAGTTCGAGGAGGATCCGCGTTCTCTGTTAGTCACTAATTCATTCGTTTCTGATACAGTCACGCATCGTCGAAGTTATTTATTGGCAGATAAATTCTAATTAGTGCATAGAACTCAAAAAGAGACCTCATGTGAAAATATTTAGTATTTAAGTTTGAAGTCAAAATGTAGCCTACTGATTAGATGTTTTTCTGCAGTTGACGGGAAATCGAATGTAACTTTCACGAATCATTTGAATTTGTGATGAGAGTTCGTGTTAGGAAACAGATGCGGTTCAGTGGCACCTGGTCGCCGACTCCTTCCGACAGCAAGGGGAAGGGACTGAGACACTTCGCCATGAAGGTGTGTCAGAAGGTGCAACATAAGGGAGTGACCACTTACAACGAAGTGGCCGATGAACTGGTTTCGGAGTTATTCGGAAACCAAAAACTAGAGACACTTTCTTCCGAACAGGTAGGAAGATTTAGATACCCATGGACAAACAGTTAACCCAGAAAAAGTTTCTCGTGCAGGTGATAATCTCAAAGCTGAAGAACCACGGATAGATGTGACCTTTTCGCATATTTTTTCAATCGACAGTTGACTAATTCAAATCTAGAGCCCCTTTCTGAAATAGTGACTTTATAAAAGAGTCAACAAGTGTTACAAAGAAGAACAACTCTTATAAATTTCAACACTTGATCGATCAAATGTGGCGCGGTGCGTTGTTTTCTCAAAATACGATGTGACTTATTATCCGAAGTTAGATTTTTTTAAACTAGTCTCACAGCGATACGACTTAAATAAGAAAGGAAATATGTTTTTGTATAACTGACTAAATTAATAGAATTGCAGCTGAGCCAGATTTGTTTTTTTTTTGTAGCAGTATGATCAGAAGAATGTGCGCAGACGTGTGTATGATGCGCTCAATGTGCTGATGGCTCTGAACATTATCTCGAAGGACAAGAAAGAGATCAAGTGGATCGGATTGCCAACTAACTCAGCCCAGGAATTGAAGAATCTGGAGGTATTGAGGCATTCTGCTAAGCTCCCAGTTGAAATTTAGGAAGCAATTTCTTCCATGAGTGCTAATTGTTTTAGCTGGAAAGAGACCAAAGGCTTCAGAGGATCATGGAAAAAAAGACACAATTGCAAGAACTGATTTTACAGGTGAGATTACTCCGAATTATATATCTTATTGTTATGAGAGGAGACGGTAATATTTTTGATAGGCTGAACCCCAAAAATACATAGTATTGGCGAGCAAATTTTTTTTTGCTATCCTGGGGAGTCAGTATTAAACGAAGTCGTATTAAATGATTTGTTCATTTCTCTATTGTTGCTTCAATTTAATTTTATATCTTAAAATATATAGCCATGGTCTTGAAGATGATTCATTTTGTGTCCAAGACTTGACCTTTTTAGCACGTAGCCTTCAAGAACCTGGTGAAGCAAAACAAAGAGGAAGAGGCGGCCAATGGTGGCCAACCGCCTGACCCCAGCACAGTGATCAGACTACCTTTCATTGTGATCAATGCTAGTAGTGACACAGACATAGACTGCAGCATAGCTAGTGACAAAAGAGAGTACCTGTTCAATCTAGACAAACCATTTCAGGTCAGAACACCTTCAGTAGTCTTAAATTACCTGAAGTTGACATTCGGTTCAAGTGTCAATGAATTAATGAACGCGGTGAAGATGCTTATACACGTCATTTTGGTTTTCTTTTTTTATTAGTGTCTCAAAAGTTTTTCACGCTCAAATTTGATTTTTAGCGGTTTGAATTTTTTACAAGCGAAATGTAGTGTAACATTTCGAAATTTGTTTTTCTAACTCAAGTCGCAAATAAAAGTGCTGGTATATTTTAATTTGATCATTTTAAGCCTATTTAAGCATGAGCAATTTAATAGCATATGTTGTTGTTTTATTTTTGGCTAGTGTTAGGTCTTGAATGAAAAAACAGCTCATGTGAAAATGCATGGGATTTGTTTTTTGTTGTTTTTTTTTTGCGGCGCTTGGGAATCTTTTGATACTTTTCGCTGAAATTTCAATTTTTCTCTAGAAATACTTCCGTTTATCAAAAACTGGTACCAATGGCAAACCGGCTGATCTTCTATGTGCATGCATCTTTTGCTAGTCTCTTCATTTTACCCCACGTTCTACGGACTACGAAAGTTTCAGTAGGGGATTTTTGTTCTATTTGTTTTGAATTTTTTTTTCTTTTTCTCAAATATTAAATTGAGATGGCGGTTTCAATCAAAAGTACAAATTATGGGTATTTCGCTTTCTTTTTCCAGTGGTTATTCCCGAAATTCGATAGAAAAAGTTATGGCTTCATAACTCTGTTTTTTCCCTGTTTTTTTGAATAAAAATATGGCCTTAAACATATCCAATTTTTGAAATTTAGCCCGTTTTTTTGAAAAATACTTTTTTAAGACTGAAAGTTCTATCAAAGTAATATGCTGCTTAGCATTTTCCCGCGGAATCTAATTCAGTTTAATTTTTGCAGGAAAGTCAATATCGACTTCGGGAAATCCATTTTTTGAAATGTTTAACGTTTTTTTTAAAATTTTCATGATGTTTTCGAAAACTACTAGCTAAATCTGATAGGATTCAATCTAAAAGTGAGGGCATAGAGGTTTTTTTGATCTATAAAAGTCCGTTCACACGTTTAATTAGAAAAAAATAAATGGATAAAGAAAAATTCATCTTAAAAAATTCAATTTTAAAAATTTTCTGATCGTTTTTTAAAATCTTTTTCACTTTTTTCGAAAACTACCCAGCCAAATCTGAGACAAAGAATTTAATTGAAAGAGCGAGTAGTAGATTTCTCCTGTGATTAAGCAGCTAATACTCTACTTAAGCAGAGAAACAAGGGTCACGAGGCCTTGAGTGACACTGCTTATCATAAGGTCGAAGATTCAAATCCGGAACATTGAATTAGTTTTTTTGCTCGAATTTCGCTGCTATATTGGTGGCTAATGATAGTAAAATTTTAAGCGCTGGAGAAGTAGATATGAGAACGTAATACTCCTAGAATGTGATAGTACTAAGAACAAAGTAAGTAAATAAGTTTATTGTAAACTGACCAAATTAATAGAATCGCAACTGAGCCAGATTTTTTATGCAAGAAAAAACTTGAAATAGTTTTTTTTGCTCGGATTTGGCTGCTTATTGATGGCTAGCGTTAATAAAATTACAAGCGGTCGCGAAGGAGATGTGAGAACGTATAACTCCTAATATAAAAATTATTGTTCAATTTTTTTTCTCAAGGTGTATTTTAATCTTTTCCTTATTTACACAAGCATAGCTTGTGTTATAGTATGAACTTTTTTTTCACAACCTAAGTCGAAAATATTGTTGCGATGCAATTGTTTCGATAAAATGTGTTCATTTTGAAAGTTTTCATTTTGATGCAGCTATTAAGTACAGCCAATGCTATGGATATTAAACAGAGTATGATATTACAAATAGCACTTTAGCTTCAAGGTATCGTGGTTTTGTAGCGTTGAGGTGGGGAAGGACACCAGCAGCAAAATAAAAGGGTTCGAACTAGGGCAAGGTCGGATTTTTTCATGAACTTTTTCGTGTACTAGTTAGAATGCATCCGCTTTATAAATTGAGGCATACTAGTTGGTAAATTTCTTTTGAAATTGACTGGTACTGCTAATGCGTCATAATTGGCTTGCGCCACCAAGCAGCTATCTAGACTCATAATTGGCGTGCGTCATTTAAGAAATTTAGTAGACTCAAAGTTTTACTCATTCTGTTTTTTCCACTAGCGTTGTCGGTCATATCTTTGCTTGTGTATGCGAAATGCAACTTCGCCTCTGTGTTAAACTTGCGAAGCTAGTGTATTAGTACGAACCTTCTTTTTTCCACCCTAAGTCGCAAATATTGGTGCAGCACGTTTATGGCGTGGCACCCCAATAAGGTTGGGGCGCCTTTACAGTTTTTTGATAGCATGTGCTTTGATGTTCGAAAAGTAATAAATTAACGCAGTTGATCCATTTTTGATTTATCAAACGACCCGAAAAAAGCTATTTGTTTCTAACAACATTACTATAATAAAAATACGGTTATAGAAATTTTTGAACTCAATTTATCTTGCAATTTTTTTGAAATGCACTTTGTATACATAATGTGGCTTGATGCTTTGCGATTTGTTACTTGCAAAGTTAGTGTGGATGCCTTCAGTTTGTCATTTTCCAAATTAATAATTGCAAAGTTAAGTCTATCTGTATTTGGCGCTGAATCGCAAGGGAAATTTCTTAGCATATGTAGCTGCTTTATTTGTGAATAGTGTTTATCGGTTGTTAAGCTTGAGTGGCTGAGGGGGTAGTGCGTGAGACTCTAAATCTCTTGATTGCAGTTGGTCGCAGATTCGAAACCTACACGTAGCCGAATTTTTGCTAATTTGAGGCTTATTTATATTTATTCGTATTGCACTTTCTAGAGATGCTTTTTGACGTGTTCTTGCTAGTGTATTAAAAAAGCAGTTTTCTTTATTCACATTTTTATCGTTTGTTTGTGCGCTTAGAGTAAAGTGCAAAATGACCAAGTTATTAGCAAATTACTGAACAATTTTGGTTTATTTAGCACAAAATAAATCAGCATGAACTGTGATTTCTACCAAATCTGGCTAAAAGGCAAAATATCATGCCGGTTTGTCTCCGACACAGGAAGAATGAAGTTTTTCAATGATCAATCGAATCGCGGTTGGAAGGGAATTTATAGATATCATTCGAATAATTTTAATTTTGCGTGGTCCTGATTCTAAAGTTTTATTCTAGTTCGTGGCGTACCTTCAACCTTGAAGCTCAGCATCTACAAGGTGGCTCAGATACACTTCCGAAAATAGGACTTAATTCATCGCGAATTTTTTTTTTTAGCTGAACGGCGTAACAAAAATATGAAAAATTTGATAATGATGTTACAATAAGGTCTTCAAGCCGTCGGAAGATGATTCATGGCTGGGAGAAACTGATATACAAATTCTGGTTTATCTGTTCAAGTGTCAATTATAGAGACAGAAAAGTTAATCTTTTATCTGTTGTCTTTTATATGTTAATCAGTGATATATATCTGTTGTCTATTCACTAATCGATAACTTCAGTGCGATATCTCGAAAATCCGATGAGATACTATTATTTGCACTATTTTGATAGGAAAAGTTAGTCTAATAAAAAATCCTGCGCCGGCGTTTTTTCTATGTTTCTTAAACTTCAGCTGTGAGTTAAGGTCCGGGGTGGGCTTTTCATAGAGTAATTTCGGATAAGGACATCGTCTGTTCGTCATGCTCTTTGTTTTCGGCCGGATAGGTTCGTGCAACTCCTTAGTCTAATACCAATCCTAATCTTACTTTTATATTTCCTAATCTTAATCGATCTAGCGATATACTGGTTCACTGCTAAGTTAAAGGAGAGTTATGATAAGTTAATAATGAATTTTTTACAGCGAAGTATTTTAAAATATAATTTAAATAACTACCTTTAAACTGGATCTTGTTGATTTAGCGAGTGTAACTCAGTACGACTAAGACAAAAAAAGAAATTGTTATGTTGTTTGAACCGAAGTAAGCTATTTTTTTTCAAACAGAATTACAATAAAAAACTCGGTTTTAAAAATTTTGTAACTCAATATATCTCGCAATTTGCACAATTTATACATAATGTGGCTTTATGCCTTGCGATTTGGTATTTGCAAAGTTAGTGTGGATGCCTTAAGTTTGTTATTCGAAATTATTAATTGCAAAATTAAGTTTTTGTATTTGGTGCTAAATCGTATTGGCATATGTAGATGCTGTATCCGTGACTAGTGTTTGTCGCTTGTTCTTCTAGAGTGGCTAAGGGGATAGTGCGTGAAGTTCTAAATCTCTTGATTGCAATTGGTCACAGATTCGAATCCTACAGTAGCCGAGTTTTTGCTAATTTGAGGCTTATTTATATTTATTCGTATTGCACTTTCTAGAGATGCTTTTTGACGTGTTCTTGCTAGTGTATTAGAAAAGCAGTTTTCTTCATTCACATTTTTATCGTTTGTTTGTGCGCTTAGAGTAAAGTGCAAAATGACCAAGTTATTAGCAAATTACTGAACTATTTTGGTTTATTTAGCACAAAATAAATCAGCATGAACTGTGATTTCTACCAAATCTGGCTAAAAGGCAAAATATCATGCCGGTTTGTCTCCGACACAGGAAGAATGAAGTTTTTCAATGATCAATCGAATCGCGGTTGGAAGGGAATTTATAGATATCATTCGAATAATTTTAATTTTGCGTGGTCCTGATTCTAAAGTTTTATTCTAGTTCGTGGCGTACCTTCAACCTTGAAGCTCAGCATCTACAAGGTGGCTCAGATACACTTCCGAAAATAGGACTTAATTCGTCGCGAATTTTTTTTTTAGCTGAACGGCGTAACAAAAATATGAAAAATTTGATAATGATGTTACAATAAGGTCTTCAAGCCGTCGGAAGATGATTCATGGCTGGGAGAAACTGATATACAAATTCTGGTTTATCTGTTCAAGTGTCAATTATAGAGACAGAAAAGTTAATCTTTTATCTGTTGTCTTTTATATGTTAATCAGTGATATATATCTGTTGTCTATTCACTAAT